ATATATATATATATATACATACATATATATGTGTATATCGTTAACATTATATCTAATCGGTTGCTTACAGGATTCTGAAGGACAAGGTTGTCCATTTTGTCGAGCTGAGATTAAAGGCACTGAGCAAATCGTCGTAGATCCGTTCGACCCGCGAAGAACTCACAGACCTGGGGCACATTCGGCATCTGCTAGTAACGCATCAACTCCCACGCGGGATCTCGACCCCGACACCGAGGTATCCGACTAGGAATAGCATCCATCTTCATTATTAAATGTGTTCTATGTATAATAACATTCCTCCCTCATCGCAGAGAATATGCCTCATTCTCGAGAATGCCTCATACATTTCACACGAGTCTTCGCGGTTTATCTCTACGGTCGTGTACGCGTGTCATGTTATTTCGTACGTTCGTCATCACGATTGTATGCCGTACCTCATAGCGGGTATGCGGTAGTAATTTTAGGCATGTAATACGTATCAGTGAAGCTACTTGCTCTTCTTTCGGGACCAAAAGGACATCAAATTGCAAGGATATGGCTATATGATTCTATAGAGTTCATTATTCTTTTCTTTTTTTTTATATGTTTGCAAAATTACAGACGAGCCGATAAGTGATTGCCTCATCATTAGCCGAACGGTTAGTCTTATCTATCGCGCAACTAACTTTTGCGAGATCGTCTATATCGCATAATTATAAGTTTCATCAATTACGCAGGAGCTCTCAGGTAAGGCTCGCTTTTCTTGCATCTCATTGAAAACTATAAGCCAGTCCCTTATTCTCTGGCCTATTTTCATTGTTATTTATGATTATGCATACACAATCTTAGCTTCCGAACGATTCTGTTTAATATACACTGCCAATGAGTCAAGAGATTCGATAAGGAATTCTCCGGATTTAGATATACGCCCGTTTATTATAATGCGTTAATCTATGGAGAGAAATGTATTAGGCAGTATAGTTTCGCATCCAATTACAAAGTGGATTACATTTACTTATTTCGCAAAAGTTTTTCAATTCACATAATTCATAATGCATGTGCATATGCGTATTTTAAAAGCGCTCTTTTTTTTAAGTATATGCATACAGACGATTTTGATGCCTGTGATAAATCTTTGTGTATATTATTTATGCATAATATTATATAATTTATAAATAATTACATGTGGCTTATACATAAATCCACATATACGAAGCACAAAAAAGTTCTACAAAATGGATTCCACGAGCAAAACTTTGAATATAATCACATTACTGAATCACACTACTGAGTTGCATTTGTAATTTTCACCTGCTCGATAGATTGCAAAACGGATAAGCACGATATTTAGAAGCATTTTTTTTTCGAAAATTTGGAATGATTAAGCGACGAAATTGATATTACTTGCATAGTATTAAACAATTTTAATTATGTACAATTATGTAAAAATTTTTATTAAGTAAATTTAATTTTTATTATTTGTTAATTAATGGTGCTGTCGTTAACAATCGACAAACTACAATTTATTTTGAATTGCATATTAAATCATTTATTTCATTTCATTATTATTCAACAGTAACAAGATCTATTTAAATGTTTATTACTTCTTCTATCTTCAAATATTGTGACAAACGAATGATTATTTTATAAAGAACGAAACAGTTCTATGATTCATATTTGAAAGAAAAGATTATGTACTATTAAGTCTTTAAATATAGCTTTAAGCGTTCACAATAAAGGACACGAGAAAAAATAATGTGCGATGATCAAACAAAGTAGCATGCACTGAACAGCCGACTCGAAAAATCAATCACTATCGTTATATATCTTGTTAAGATGTATTGTGTACCTGCTGGCGGTAGACTCGAATGTAATATCATGTTAACGTCATCATTATGGAAACGACGGTTCGTTTATAGCGTTATTCTATATTATTTCTTTACATTAAAATATTAATTTATTATTTATATGTGTACTGTATCGAAAGAAAAAAAATAGACAAGAAAGATGATTTCGATATACCAATCGTCACGCGCTAAATCAAATGCTATGGTATTACACGTACGTTTTTAATGCAAGACAAGTTTCTGTAAAGTTTTGTAACGCATAATGCATGCAACTAAGGCCATTGCGGTGTAAATATAGAATCGATTTGATTCTCTGGCACAATTATCGGCGGATTGTCAATTTAGACCTCGTTAAGCTTTATCCGGCTATTTTAGATTGTATTACGATCACATAGAGCTCATTCGTGCTTTAGTTATTAGCGATTCGGTGAGAAGCGTTCGCTATAATTGCGGAACCTTCTTGTATGTGTACCGCGTAAGATTGGACCAATTCTCATAAACATAACTTTAGCATATGATTACCGAGTAGCGTATTATTCATTGTAAAATATTAGGAACTTCAAAATAATTTTTTTTATAATAAAATTGTATTGCTATTTATTTCGAATTACTTCTGCACTTCGTGTATGCGCCCTTCGTGATGCAATATCCTTTATATTAGATTCTCTAGTTTCATTATTAACTTAAAATTTCGTTATTGGCGATCTCAAGTTGCTTCTCCAGCAATAGGGAGAACCCTCCGGATGAGGATAACTTTATTATATATCGATGATACGATAACTTTATTATATATCGTTCGCATGATCGTTTACTTTTATTTCATAATGTTATCCACCCACTGGGGTCACATTGCTCTACTACCTGCTGCATGATCCAAACTAATCGGTAATGTACATGTCTGACGGGGAGGAAGTCGTACAACAGTCGTGCGCAAGCACAGGTAAGTGACAATATGCATTATGGCCGTCTGCTTCCATGCTTTGTAATTATGCTCATATTTTTTTACTCATGACGTTACTCGCACTTTATTCATAATGATTGCATCGAGTGAAAGATTAACGGCATTCGACATTTCCATATCGTTCGTGATGAAAAAATTTTTCCTCTTGCGTGATGATGAGTAACGTCATAGAGAAAGTACTTGTTGAAGTAGTGAAATGATTCTTTTTGCGATTTAGATTATTTCTTGAATGATTACGCGTAAAAGATCTTTTGTTTTGTATCTTCATAGACCATCACAGCCAGTACTTATTCAACTTCTCTCTTTTGCAAGCGGATTATTTTCCTTGTAAAAAGAATCAACGATTCAAATGCTAACATTTTGCAAAAGATAAAAGTATAAATAATTGATCGACCGCTATAGCTTCAAGGCAGCAGATGATTCAACGCTTTATTTGCTTCGACGAATTCTTCAGAAAGATTTAACTAGAGGAGGTCACCTTGCGGAGAATAATTGCATACATTCTCTCTATTGAAAGTAAAATAGGTGGTATAATTGTCATTTCTCGCGGAATCTCCATAATCATCATGCTTGTTCTTTCACAATTTTTCATATAATTCTTTTTATTTAAAAATTGAAATAGTTCCATCTAACGTTACTGAAAAAGATAAAGCGTTATATGCAGGATGATTTAAAATTAATAATAGAGATAATATTATTGCTACAAGAGATTTTGTATATAAAAGTAATTTATAAACATTAAGCAACCTCACCTAAATTGCGTGTTATGTAGATCTGAGATCTTACATTTGCAAAATCCTTTCGATTTTATATTCTTCGAAAGTCAGTTTTATCTTACCGACAATTTTCTTTTGTAAGATAAAATATATATTTTTTGATTGATATTTTTGTACTGATAGTGGTATGAACTAAATTCTATTATCTTAAATAATTTGATTCAAAGATTCAAGCTATCTAATTAAAATCTAAGTAAAATATAATTGTAGCGTACTATTAAAATTATTATTTTTATATAACAACTTTAAATCGTTGCGTTTATAGTAGAGATAATTAAGATTGTCAAGTTATTTAATTCAGTAACTTTGTGTGTGTGTGTGTGTGTGTGTGTGTGTGTGCGTGTGTGTGTGTGTGTATGTGTGTGTGTGTGTATGACGTAAGTACTGTCTGAGTCATATGACAAAATTTAGCATTTAACTGTTTTTTTTCTATTGCTGATGTTTTAGGATATAATGGAGCTATGCAATGGCAATTGCAGTCTCATATGCGATGACTCAGACGAGGAAGACGATTCTAGTCTCACAAATTCGCCGGTGCCGCCGCGGAGAATTGTTCCAAGTCCGCCTTTACCGCCCAGGAGACCCTCGCCATCGCCTACACCAAACAATCACCTCAGAAACGGACGTCATCTGACAGTGCCGAAGGAAAATGCTCCGCCACCACCGTCAGCGGTCACAGTAATATTAAATTATACCGACAACACTCAGCAAAATAATAAAGGTACATAGGACAATTTTTAATGTTTAATCTGTATCGCCTAAAAGTAACAGATCATAATAAAAATATTACAGATAAACGATACATTTATCTGAAGTAATTGTGGCGTAATTACATCTTTTTGCTAAACTAAAATACTTTTATAAATATAAGGTTTGTTAAATAATCGCTTCAATATTATTTATAATAACTTAAGATTAATATTATACCCAGATTTTTTAAAAAGTAATAATATAAGTTTAATGAGATAATCTGTGTGATTTTTAAGTCGAAATCATCTGGGGTATCTTTATACTTTAACGACAAAAAAAATGCGAATTGTTATAAAATATTATTTTGGTTATAATTGTTTAACATATTTTTTCTTTTTTAATAATTATTTTTTACGAATCTGTAAATATATACAACTGCATTGAAAACTCGTAATAAAAAAGCATTATACTAATAAAAATCTTTATTTTTTAGAAATACTGTCATAATAAACTATTTAACTAAAGTAAAAAGTAAAGATTTTCATTAATGTAACGCTATTTTATTTTC